AACATTTATTTTCTCACTCAAACTCTTCAAAATTCTTAGAAAACGTGCTGAAGTGCACGCATGCGCAAACGTTTTTCTCTAGTGTCGCTGCGCCTCTCATCAATGTGACCTTGGTTCGATGTCCCGGACTCGGTGTCGTATGTGAGTAGAGTTGTTTGTTGATTCTCTCCTGTGCTTCGAGGGTTTTTCTCCTGTTTCCTGGGTTTTCCTCCCTCCACAAATATAAACTTATAAATTCCAATTCGATTTGGCATCGAAGGCTACAACAAGAGCTCGTTCTGGCTCAAGTCCCTGAGCAAATACTTCCTGCAATCTGATCGACGTAATATGAATTTACAATTTAAAACTTTTTTTGTGATCGACTTCGACGTGAAACCTATAAAAAATACGCTTTTGATTAAGAATCTACTAAGCGCGTGAAAAAAGAAAGCGGTTCCTTTGTTTCCTGATTTCAAGTCATATATTTTCGGAGTCTACTTTACCAGGTCATTATGGGACTAATATGTCATGCCGTCGCTAAGCAACAACTTTCTTCCCATGCGTGTACACGAAAATCCACTATACAAGACAAAGCTGGTCAACGTAGAATGGACAAGTGCTCTTAGTGCATGTCTTTTCTTCTCACATAACGTTTTCTCAAAATCAATGTGAATAATTTTTAAAGTTAAATAGACGTTTTCACTAACGTCAAGAGTCTTTATCCCATCAATTGCTTCACATAAGCGAACTAAAGCCCCGTTTACACTAGCAATTTATTTWTTTTTATTTTTTTGCGATTTTGTCCATAATAAATAATGGTAAATAATTTACTTGTAAAGTTTTTTTCAGGATACCAAGATTTTCCTAGACGAACGTCTCTTTTGAAGGATGAGACAAAAGATTTCATATTTCCGAAAATTGCCACAAACATCGCAGCAGAAATCGCCTGTGTAAATGGGGCTCGATACAGAGAAGCCGTCTAAGTGCACGCTATTAGACAGCCCCATTGATAAATAAGTCTGACCTTAGTCCATTTACGGATACTTTCAACTTCATCTATAATGAAATAGCTTAATCTAGCATTGTCAAACTCCACTCAGTCGTGAAGGAGTTAAAACGCTTAGAAATTCATGATATTGAAAATTTCGCCAAATTTTTTGGGGGGAATTATTTTTATCAAAAATTCTTAAAATCTCTCTACCACATATGCGATTCGTATTCGCTTTTAAAAGTTTTGGAGTTTGAAGTAATTTTGATTTCGATTGGTTAGAACTGCTGTTAATAACATTAAACCTAATGGACTTATTCCTCAATGCGACGAAAGTAAGCACATTAACAATTAACCAAACTAATAACAATTGTTTATTGTTATTTTACAGATTATTATTATTTGTCTAGTCTGGGAGAATCGTTTAATTGCTTTGCTGCTGGCAGTTATTTAAGCGGGTTATTTCTAAGGAGATTTTTACTTAGATAATGTTGATATTTTCGACCCGATTACCGAGAAAATTCTTCTCAAGATTTTGTCACATTAACTTAACAGTTTTGGTGCTTTGTCTAAGGTATTAACTGTAAACAAACATGCATACCACAGAAACAAAGAGTGCATTTTATATCGAGCGTTTTCGTTGTCGAAGTGAAGTTACTTTTTTTACAGCGCATTTGTTTGCAATCAAAACGAGCCAAAAAAAAGCGGACTTGATGAAATGGTCTGATTTTATGATTTTTATAACATCAAAATTTCTTTCTAGGCTGCAAAGTTAATAGGTATTTTTCCTTTATTCTTCATTATTATATTCGTAAAATGTGCTTGTTATATTCTAAAGCTTCGCTTTGGAACCGGGATAATCTAAATCAAGAATTACTAAACTCTAGATCTTTTTCCCGCCAAGTCGAGTTTCGTTTTGTACGCGCGCCAAGCACACACACAAAAAAATATTTCAACTTAAGCTAGGATTTGTTGAAAAGCACACATCCTAATCTCTGGATAATTTCCAAGCTAAGCTTTCAAATTCAAGAGAAAGCCTTTAGTTGTTTGCATAACGTTTTACTATGATCAGAAGCAGAAAGAGAGTTTAGTTTCTTATAGGGGCAAGCTAAATCATTTAATAAATGAGTTAGTAGACTGAAGATTATATATTCTTTATACAACACTAGTTCTGGTTAAACCAAAAAAAAAAAAAAATGAAAGTTTTGGTCTTGTTCTTGTCAGCAATATCCTTAACCCTCATTTTGGCAATTCTCATTTCATTGAGTTTCTTTCGTTTTTATATCCTTCTCTCCTCAAGCAGTAGACATATAGCTTTTTTCCCATGACAAAGGCTTTGGTTTGTATTTCTTCCCAACCATCTTGTAAAAGATTTTCAAGAAAGCTTGCCTGAACTCCTGGTTAAAACACGAATAAATAATAGGATTTGCAGCAGAATTACTCACGGGTAGAACATAGACAAATATGTTCAAGATAGCAGTCTTAGCTTGTTCTGAGAGTCTCGCGTCAAAACAATCATTCCCGCAGTATTGAAAAGTAAGATAAATAACGAAAAATGGAAACCAACACAGGATAAAGACTCCCACGACGATAGCCAGCGTCTTTGTTGCTTTAATTTGCTTCATAACGTTGAATGTCGATGCGGTAGATTTGGACCGTCTTATATAAGTATTCCCCTTGGTTCCATCTTTTGAGCCATTTATTTCAGCATCCTTTAAGCTCAAATACGGGGTGTTTTCCTCTGAGTGCTCGTCCTCGTCTTTTTTATTTCCATTTGGTTCCAAAGAAAAACTCACGGCGATGGAATCCTTCTCGCGTTGAAGTTGTAGCGCATGACGTATGGCAACGTGGAGCACAAGTCCATAGCACACGACGACGATTAATAATGGGCAGAAAAAGCAGGCAAACGATACGATTGTGATGTAAATCTTGGCCTTCATACCACACTGGGGTTGATACGCAATGGTATCTTGTCCCCAATCGACGAATAACAAACACGCTGCAAGAAACGCATAGATCCACACAAATAGAATAGCCAGGTAAGCCCTTTTGCTTGTCATCTCTTCTCGATACTTTAAGGGCCGTTTGATGGCCAGAAGTCTATCAATACTTATGCCAGCCAGGTTGACGATAGACGCACCACTACAGAGTATGTCCATCCAGATCCAAAACTGACACCCTTCTCGGCCTAGACTTAGAGGCCATATGTTGCTATTCAACGTTTGAGTTAGCCGGAAAGGAAGTATTACTACTCCTACCAAGAAGTCAGACACGGCTAAAGAAACGACGAAGTAGTTTGTTGGACTGCGCAAACGATAGTAGGAAACCACGCTAAAACAGACGAGCGAATTACCGAAGATTGTCAGAAGCATTACCAATACCAGGAAGCTTGCAGAAGCTATGGTTGTGGCCGCTAGTTCTTCGCTTGTACTTGCACTTGTAGGAAGTGATATATTAGTGGTGTTGTTGAGAGAAAACATTGTTAATGCCCGCGCTGGCAAGATCAAAAGATCCTGGAAAAGTTGATCCTTATATGTAGTAGATGACCAGTTATACTTCAAGTCTTACTGGAAAAAAAATAAAAAATAAACAAACCGCGTT